TAGGAAGCCTTCCTTTCCCCAAGTCCTAGGATACTTCTGCTGCTCCCTGAAGCCAGAATTGGTGGCCAGTTGCAAGCATTTTCCTCTGAAAATACCCACCATCTCTCCATGGGGTTAGCCCTGGGGAATTTTTTATGTGCCACTGAAGTTTTTTCTGAGGCCAGGCCAGGCCTGCTTATATAGGAGCAGCTGAGAGTGGCCACCAGGAGTCCCGCCCAGGTGGACCATTCCTACTTTGGAGCAGCCCCAGGCTGAGTACTGAGAGGAGAGAGAGGTCTGCCTGCTGGGGGCTGGCGAGAGTGACGGGAAGTGACTGGCTGTGGGAAAGGAGATGCACAGGCCCTCAGCCAGCCCTGGCTCTTTTTGCCTCAGCATCTCCTCTGCAGCCCCCTCCATCCCATAGTCCCCTCACTGACTTGGGACAGGGTAGGGGGTGGAGATGAAGAGGCCCCTTTCTACCTCCACAACCCCAACCGGGATCTTGCAACACTGGGATGGGGGCCCTGGGGGCCCAGGCATGTGGCAATCCGTGGGGGGTGGGGTGGGGTGGGGAGGTGTGCACGGAGCAGGGGGAGAGGCTTTCACAAGCAGCCTCCACCGACTGACCTTGGCAGGCTCACCTTGGACAGCTTCCCCCTCTCAGAGGTACCTCCAAACAGCCTTCCTCCTTGCGGCTTCCCTGAGGCCTGACATCCTATCTCTCAGCTCAGGACTTTCATCCTGCTCCCCAGCTATGCTCATGAAGGAAAGTGGGTCCAGGCTGCGGATTCTAAAACAATAGGAATGCTTTAGATGTCCCTCCTTTCCCTCCACTTCTTAACACCCCTCCACCCCCTGTTATCTCCTCCCCAAGAGAGACCTTTTATATATATATATACTAGAGGTCATTGCACGAAGAGATTCGTGCAATAGGCCTTCCCTTACCCTGGCTGCCAGCACCGTTTTTCCTCCGGCACCCAGGACCCAGGCCTTCACTCTGGCCACAGCAGAGAATCCAAGCCTCTTCAGCCCTCAGTCTCTGCTCCGCCGGAGCCCTCAGTCTCTGCTCCGCCGGAGGCCTCAGTCTCTGCTCCGCCGGAGCCTTCCGGAGCCCTCAGTCTCTGCTCTGCTGGAGCCTTCCAGAGCTCTCAGTCTCTGCTCCACCAGAGCCCTTAGTCTCTGCTCCGCTGGAGCCTTCAGGAGCCCTCAGTCTCTGCTCTGCCGGAGCCCTCAGTCTCTGCTCCGCCGGAGCCCTCAGTCTCTGCTCCACCAGAGCCTTCCGGAGCCCTCAGTCTCTGCTCTGCCGGAGCCTTCCGGAGCCCTCAGTCTCCGCTCCACCCAGTCTTCGCTCTGCACCTGTGTATGCAAATTAACCACCATCTTTGTTGGGTTAGTTTGTATATTCATCCGATCGGCTGGTGGGCATAGTGGAGTGACACCAATTTGCATGTTTCTCTTTTATTAGTGTAGATAATATATTTTTTATTGATTTCAGAGAGGAAGGGAGAGGAAGAGAAAGACAGAAACATCAATGAGAGAGAATCATTGATCAGCTGCCTCCTACAGGCCCCACACTGAGGTTCAAGTCTGCAACCCAGGCATGTGCCCTGACCAGGAATCGAACCCTGACCTCCTGATTTATAGGTTGACGCTCAACCACTGAGCCATGTCAGCTGGACAAGAGAGACATTTCTTGACCATTCCAGCTAAAATAGCTTCTCTACCTATTAGTTTACTTGGTTTCCCCACTGGGCATATAAAAATGGAGTAATTAATGAACTTAATGAAGGTGCTCTGCAGAAGTGAGAACAAACAGGATTAAGGGAAGGCAGCAAGGAGTGGTAAAGTAGGCCTGGTGGCAGCAGGAGGGGTATCACCCCACAGGCCATTTGGGCAGGAATCCAGTGAAAAGGAGCTGTGAAGAGTACCTGTCTTGTCCTAGGAAGGGTTGGGGACAAGCACCTTACTTCACTCTCCTGTCTTACCTGGTATGTGGCAAGATGGACAAGGAGGGGCAGAGGAAGACGCTCAGCACATTTTTTGTTGCCTTTTTGTTTCTACCCCTTCAGCTAGGAGCTGGTTGTCTTATTCACCACAGTGTTCTGGACATCTTGCAAAGGCCTGGCACAGGAAAGATGCTCAACAAATACTTGTCAAGTGTTACTTTGGCCCAAACTAGTTGAGGTCGACTTAAAAACCTCATTCAAAAAGTGTGACTTCTGGCCTCGGCCAGTGGCTCAGTTGGTTGGAGCATCATCCCTGTACACCAAAAGGTTTTGGGTTTGGTCCCTGGTAGGGGGATATACCTAAGTTGCCGGTTCAATACCCCATTGGGATGCATATGGAAGGCAACTGATCGATCGGTGTTTCTCTCTGTCTGTCTGTCTCTCTCTCTAAAAATAAATAAACAGTCTGGCGGATGTGTCTCAGTGGTTGAGCATCCACCTATGAATCAGGAGGTCATTGTTCGATTCCTGGTCAGGGCACATGCCTGGATTATGGGTTCAATATCCAGTAGGGGGCATGCAGGACGCAGCTGATCAATGATTCTCTCTCATTAATGATGTTTCTATCGCTCCCTCTCCCTTTCCCTCTGAAATCAATAAAAATATATTTTAAAAAATAAAAGAAAAATGTAAAAGGTGTGACATCTGGCTGTCTGTCATCTCCCCCTGAAATATGATGTGCCACAGAGGATGGGATGTGCTCGACACTCTGTGTCTCACTGGGCTGGTGTTCCCTTCTCTCCCAGTGGGGCTTCTGCAGTCCTGGTGCCAGCTGCCCGGCCCTCAGGAGCCCCTGGGGTGGTGGGGGCTGGGAGGAGACACAATTCAGAGCTGTGGGAAAGAAGCGCGGGGTTAATGGTTAAGCAACCCAGGTCCCATTACCCAGAACCCTGAAAATAAGTCAAGGGACAGTGGTCTTGAGGTGGGAGGAGGAAATCCGGAGGTTGAGTCACTCAGTGTGTTCTGTACAAACCCCCCTTATGCAACCCATCCCCTTGGGCTGAAAGGAAGGTGCAGGATTCTCCCAGGCATTCACAGAAACTGGCACCTCCCCCTTCCAAACTCAGGCGGCTCCAGTGGGTGAGGTTCAGATCTGTGGGCCCAAACCAGACGTGAGGCAGGGGATCCAGGGCACAGATGTAGGAGAGATGGTGCTCGAGAGACACCGAGGCAAAGGCAGGAGAGGGATGAGTCCTGGGTAAGGCAGGCATGGTGCCCACGAATGCCCAAGATGTGGGAAGGCTCTGACCCTGGGGATGTGGAGAAAGAGAGAACAGGGAGGATCCGGACCCCAGTGTTTCTGTGTCTCACAGAGTGTTTCCTTGACGCAGGCTTTCTCAGCAGTGGCTTGCAAGTCATTGGTGGTCTAGGGGAGACTCTAGCCTGTATTGTGTCTCTCATCCTATGTCTGTCAGGCACTCCTGATCACTTATGAATGAATTTAGTTGCCCTGCCAGGTGCTGCATACCTCTGAGGGGAGGTGTGAGCTCAGAGTAGAGAGACAGGTGCCTGTGCTGAGACAGCAAAGGGACTGAGTGAGCTTTAGGACAATGTCTCTTGTGCCCTCAACCGCGTTATCTATAAAATGTGGCTCACATTATCTTGCTTCTCTGAGGGCCAAGACCACTGGATGATCTCTTGAGGTCTTTTCTAGCACCTCTTTTGATCTATAATTTTATGGAGCTAATTTTGGTTCTGTCTCTAACCAATCGTGTGATTCTAAGTCTCTTCCCCTCTCCAAGGCCTCAGTTTTCTTACCTGAAAAAAAATGAGAAGTTTACATGAGATCTCTGAGGTCCTGTCAGTTCTAGCAAAATGGAATAATAACTATTCACACTGACCCTGGTCCAGGCCCTGTTTATCTATGAACATAGCAGCACTATGAGGTGGGGGCTAGCCCTACTCCCATTTTGCAGATGAGGAAACTGCAGCACAGAGAGAAGTAGCTGGCTCCAGGTCACACAGCTGTAAGCAGCAGAGGGAAATTCAAATGGAGGCCCTCAAGCACTGGACTACTGTGCATCTTACATGAGAGTTCTGTGAAAAAGAAAACACTTTGAACATGGGGTTTCACTGTCGTCCTCCTCATGATCCATTTTCTCATATACAAACAGGCCTTAGGACCTTTCCCAACGGATTCATCCCCTAAGCACTCAGATGCTCATGCGTTAGGGCCCACGGGGATGAGGGACAAAGATGGGAGCGGGTGGGAGGGAGCATGGGGACGTGTCAATTGGGTAGACCGGTGGTCGGCAAACTGCAGCTCGCGAGCCACATGCGGCTCTTTGGCTCCTTGAGTGTGGCTCTTCCACAAAATACCGACTTCTGTGCATGGGCCACAAAGTTTCAATCGCACTGTGCGTGCGCGCCCGCACGTGGTATTTTGTGGAAGAGCCACACTCAAGGGGCCAAAGAGCCGCATGTGGCTCGCGAGCTGCAGTTTGCCGACCACTGGGGTAGACTGAAGCTGTGGATCTGGAGAGAAGGGATTGAGTCCTGGATCGAGAGCTAAGGGTCCGCAAGCATGGCAGAGTCATCTGGAATTTTTCCCTTGGTCATCTGGGGCAGGAGCTCCCAGGTGATACCTCAAGGGGACAGAGAGCAGGGCTTGGGTCAGCAGGGTCTGGGTGGTGCTAGGTCTTCCTCCAAGCCACAGAGCACTGTTAGGACAGTAATCAGAGGCCGCTCTAGGTCCTGTGGGGTGGCAGGAGGGTGCCTTCAGTGTCCAGAGGACAGAGTGGGGGCGGGGGAGGGGGAAGGAGAGAAGACAGAGTGACAGACATACTGACTGTCCAGGTGGTGTTTTGGGGGAGAGCTGTGGGCAGCGTATCTGCTGAATGTTTGGAAATATTCCCAAATATTCACTTGGGCATGGAAGCAAGAGGTATGCAGAACTAGCCACATGCATTCCCAGGCGCTTGCTACAGCTGCATTTGCTGTCTTTCCTCTGCATGGCCAAGGCACACACACACAAACACACACTCACACAGGCCCAGGCCCGGTGTACAGCCCCAGTACCAAGTCATAGTGCAATTTTATTCAGCTTCAGAATCATAATGCTGAGCCCCGCCCTCCTCCCTTGCCACCTGCTGCCATTTGTCCAGGATGTATGTCTTAGGCTTGGCCTGTGAGGGGCTCTAGAACCCCAGCAGAGCAGAGGTCCCCAGGGGCAGGCCAGGGGGGTGGGTAAGGTGCCCACAGTCTGCCAGCTGGACTCAGCTGCAACCCCCCACACCCTTGATGAGGTTGGCGGCCTCGGGGATCTGGCGGAAGAGGTTCCGAAGGGTGTCCAGCTCCTGGGTCAGCTGCTCCACGCGGCTGCGGAGGCGCTCGTTCTCCGCCATGTACTCCAGTACCTTCTGCTGCGTCTCCAGGATGCGCCTCTTGGCCTTGTCCCGACTCTTGCGCACGGCAATGTTGTTCCGCTCCCGCCGCAGCCGGTACTCCAGGCTGTCTTTGTTGACCGCCTTCTTGCCCTTGTGCGAGGGGCCAGCTGGAGAGGGAGCCTTTAGGAGGGGGCTGCAGGGGGCCGCGGCAGCAGCCATAGGGGCCTGGAGGGGAAGGCACAGAGGGACAAGAGGTGAGGGCTGGCCAGGAAGCAGAGGGAAGCAGAGTGGAGGCAGGGCAGGAAGGCCGCCAGCCAGAGCACCCTTGGGCCTCAGAGAGACAAGGGATTCCAGAGCCAGCTCCTGGGTCCCAGTCAGAGCAGCCTTTGCCTGCCGGGTGCACAGGGTCCCTGCTCTGACTAAAATTCCTTTCCATGCTCCACACTCTCTGAGGACACTTTCCTTCAGTCTATATTGAGTCTCCAGTTCTGTGATCAGCCGGCATTTCCTCTTCTAGAAGCAGGCGGCAGAGACACAAGAGGTGGGTGGCAGAGAAGCTGGGGGGCCTGAGGTAAGGCAGGCCAGCTGGCCACAGGGACTGCAGCACACGGGCTTCAAGGTGGGAGTGGATCCACAGAGAAGGAAGCGGGGTCGTGGTTGGGTGGTGGGTGCAGAGAGCTTTGGGGTGAGCCAGTTTCACAAAGCAACACCAAACACAGACTCGCTAAGAATAAGCAGGAAGCTCAGAGTTCCCCCATCCACAGGGGCCTCTCTCCAGCCCCTGGAAGGCACGGAGGAGAACTGACCTGCTCTTACCTTGAGGACACGCAGGGGCTGGCTGGGCGCTGCCAGAGCCGGGGGCAGGTGCATGGCCGTCTGCCCACAGTGTGCCACTTGGTACTGCAGAGGATTGTAGCCGCTGCGGCTGGCCCCGCGGCTGCCCTCGGGGCCCCGAGGCTCCTCCTTCACAGCCACGGCCCTGGGGTCGTAGCTCCCCGGGCTGCTGTAGATGCCGGGTCCCAGCGCCTTCCTGTCGGGGCCGAAGGTATGTGGGGGGTAGGCGAAGGGCCGAGGGTCAGGTGGCAGGTAGTGGGGGAAAGAAGGGGTTCCGGGGCCCTTGAGGCCTCGTGCCTCCGGTGATGGCTTCACAGCGAAGAGGTCGGAGAGAAGCTGCTCCTCCCCAGACTCGATGTAGGCAGAGAGGTCGATGGAGGCCTCATGCTCACACATGTCCCCCAGCTCCCCAGGTCCCGCTCGGGCCCCTGAGAATTCGAGTGGCTGTTGGCCAGCCCGGGGCTCACACTCGTAGTAGGTCCCGTGGGACATGGCCGGTCCGCCCCCTGGGTTCCCCGCCCCCGGGCCCTGCTCTTGGGGCACCTTGGGAAGCTTGGTCTGCCCTTCCTCGACCTCCCCCTGCCCTAGATTTGCCCTAGATCTGCCCTCTCGGGCTTCTCTGTCACCCACTCCTGCCTGGCCTCTCTCCTCCCTCCTCTGTTTCCTTTTCCTTCCTCTGTAGTCAATGCAGCTTTTCTCTTCCCTTTTTTCCCCCTCTCTCCCTGGGGTGACTCAGGGAGGGGCAGGGCGCACCCCGAGGGAGGGATGCGGGCCTCAGAGAAATGGGCCCTCAGCCTATTTAGCGGTTGGGCACTCTTTGGTCAGGATCCAAGTCAGAGTTCTGAGCTGTCCAGGAGCTGGTGCTTCTGGGAACACCTCCCCTGTTCCCGTTGAGTCCAGGGCATGCCAGCGTCCTTGCTGAGGGCAACACCTCCCTCTGCGTGTCCTCTTCCCTCCAACTTCCAAAAAGTTCCGTGCAGAATGAGGTGCCAAGTCAGAATGAACAGAGAACACCCTCTTCCAGTGCCGACCCCCAGCTTTGGCTGAGCTCCTCCCTCAACACACCTCTCACTCAGTCCCCCAAAAGGCTGGGCTCCACCCACTCCCAGGGGCAGTCAGTTCCTTTTGTAGCCCCACCTCCCAGGGCATTCTCCTGGTGCAGGCCAGGGAGCGTTTGAGGGGAAACAGTGATAGGTTCTGGGACCGAGTCACAGAGCCCGCTCATTTGCTAGGTTTTTGCACAAGGTCTGTGCAATAGCCCAAACCCTCATATGTTTCCAGCCGTGGCTAGCTTTAGCAGCCTGGCACTGGCCCTGAGTGCCCCGGCTTGGCTGAGGCTCCTGATCAGGTCTTGGACCCTGTGCCTCAGGCACAGGCAAGTTGCTGCCCTAAGGATGGACTGTCACACTCTTCTGGTGGCTCCAGAGCCTCTTTTCCTGCTGCCCTGTGCTGCCAGAGCCTCAGGCTGGAGCTCTGCCCTGCTCTGGTCCTGGGGCTCTGCCCCTTCCCTGTGCCCTGGCTGCAGGGCTCAGGCACTCTCAGCAGCTCGGTTTGCTGTCTTTCCTTCTGCATAGCCATTTTCTGACCTCGATGCATGTCTCTTGGGTCCACTTCCTCTTGTGAGGCTTGAGAAGCCGTGTCTTTTGTCATCACCTCTTCCTGGGGCTCTGTTTCAGGGTCTTCAGGAGAAGCTCAGGGCTTGCTCTCTGTACTTTTGGTCTCATGGGAGGTCCCTTCTTCCTTCCCTTTTCTTTTTCTCTGGGAACTTCCCACTCCTTCCTGGCAGAGGCACCAGCTGTGTCCCTGTTTTCACCTGTCGAATTATATCTATAAAAGGGACTATATAGCTCAGTGAAAAGGAAGGACACACAGAAGTGTGTTACTGGCTCTTTTATCACCAGCAAATGCTGGGAGTGCCTTGTGGGGAGCTAGAAGGTTTTACTAGTCTAGGTCAGGCACACCAAGGGCCAGGCCACAGTGGGGAAAATGCAGAAGCACTAGGCGTGTCATTAAACACTAAAATGAAGTATGCAAATAGAGCTGCCTAAAGGTCAGACAAGTTACCCCTCCAGTTAGTGTCCTCTTCCTCCCTCCCAATACCCCATGCAGGGTTTGAGGTGCTTTCTCTAAAAGCCCTGACCTGGCCCTAACCAGTTTGGCTCAGTGGATAGAGTGTCAGCCTGCAGACTGAAGGGTCCCAGGTTCGATCCTGGTCAAGGCCATGTACCTTGGTTGCGGGTACATCCCCAGTGGAGGGTCTGCAGGAAGCAGCTGATCGATGTTTCTAACTCTTTATCCCTCTCCCTTCCTCTTTGTAAAAAATCAATAAAATATATTTTAAAAATGTATTTATATATTAAAAAAATAAATAAAAACCCTGCCATAGCTGGTTTGACTCAATGGATAGAGCACCAGCCTGTGGACTGATGGGTCCTGGGTTTGATTCTGGTCAAGGGCACATGCTAGGGTTGCAGGCTCAATCCCCAGTAGGGGGTGTGCAGGAGGCAGCCAATCAATGATTCCCTCTCATCATTGATGTTTATATCTCTCTCTCCCTCTCCCTTTCTCTCTGAAATCAATAAAATACAAGAAAATCCTATCTAACTAGAGGCCTGGTGCACAAAAATTTGTGCACTCAGGGGCAGGGGGTCCCTCAGCCCAGCCTGTGCCCTTTTGCAGTCTGGCCCTCCTGCTGGCTTAGGCCTGCTCCCAGGGGATTGGGCCTAAGATGGCAATCAGACATCCCTCTGGCAGCCCGGCAGCCATCGGGGGATGTCCACTTGCCAGCAGGGAGCAGACCTAAGCTGCAGTCAGATATCCTTAGCGCTGCTGAGGAGGCAGGAGAGGCTCCCACCACCACTGCTGTACTGGCACCCATCAGCCTGACTTGTGACTGAGCAGAGCTCCCCCCTGTGAGAGCGCACTGACCACCAGAGGGCAGCTCCTGCATTGAGTGTCTGCCCCCTGGTGGTCAGTATGTGTCATAGTGACCAGTCATTCCCAGTCTTTCTGCTGTTAGGGTCAGTTTGCATATTACCCTTGCATATTACTATATAGGATAGAGGCCTGGTGCATGGGTGAGGCCCGGCTGGTTTGCCCTGAATGGTATCCCGGATCAGGGTAGGGGTCCCGCTTGGGTACCTGGCCAGCCTAGGTGAGGGGCTGATGACTGTTTGGAGCTGGTCACACCCCCTTCAGGGTGAGGGTCCCCACTGGGGTGCCTGGCCAGTCTGGGTGAGGGGTTGAGGGCCGTTTTCAGGCTGGCGGGTGACTGAAACTCCCAGGCTCTCTTTATTTATTTATTTATTTATTTATGGATTTATTTACCTTCTATAGCTGTCACTGGAGCTGAGAGCTGGCTCCAGCTCTGAGGCCGGTGCCGGCTGAAAGCAGGTATTTGGGTTTGTTTAGATTCTATAATTGAAACTCTGTTGCCATCACTGGTGCTCTAAGCTCTGAGCCCGCTGGCGACTGAAAGCAGGTATTTGGAGCTTGTTTAGCTTCTATAATTGCAACATTGTTGTATCCGGAGCTCAGAGCTGGGCCACAACAGGTGGGGAACCTTGGCTTCCTCCATCACTGGAGCAAGCAAGCCTCATGTTCGCTTCAACTGTGTGGCTGCCGGCCGCCATCTTGGCTGGCACTTAATTTGCATACCTCGCTGATTAGCCAATGGAAAGGGTAGCGAAGTTACAGTTAATTACCATGTTTCTCTATTATCCTATCTAATAAAAGAGAAACATGCAAATTGACCATAACCCCATCACCCTTCCCATTGGCTAATCAGCAGGATATGCAAATTAACTGCCAACCAAGGTGGCCAGCCATGCAGCTGACACAAACAGAAGGCTTGCTTGCTCCAGTGATGGAGCAAGCCAACGTTCTCCACCTGCTGCTGCCAGCCTCTGAGCTGCACTCTAAGCAACTATGTTGCAATTATAGAAGCTAAACAAGCTCCAGAGACCTGCTTTCAGCCAGCTTCAGCCTCAGAGCTTAGAGCTGCTGTGATAGCAACAGAGTTTCAATTATAGAAGCCAAACAGATCCAGAAAACTGCTTTCAGCCCTTAGAGCTGGAGCCAGCTCTCAGCTCCAGTG